AATCCAGGTTTCAAGCGGAACTCCAACTGTGTGTAGAAGCCCGGGAGTCATCTGATGTGTGGTGAGGTAGGCTCTGGGCAGTGGGAGCTGCTTCTCTCCGTAGTGCCGGGTTACAGTGTTAACAAGCCCTGGGAAGGGACCTCGGCGCCTCGCGCTGGCTGTGCCCCAGTGCCTTCGCGTGGTGGCGGCTTGCTCGTGCTTCCGAGGAGTCCCAGGCGATAGCCTTCAGCTGATGCGAGCTTCCAGAAAGGAGTGGGGAAGGGAAAAAAAAATCATCTAATGCAATCAAATCGATCTGATCTACACCATCTGTCGCCTGCCACTATACACAAACGTTAAAATAGGAAAACGGAAAACACTGACAGCCCGAGAGGGTTGGTCTGCAAAGAGTTCATTTTTAGCAGAGCATAATTGGATATGGTCGGCGTACAGTTACAAAAGCTGCTGTTAACCATCCAGTAGTGGATCCCAAACATGCTAATGGTGGATTAATTGAGGAAGATCTGACGTGCAAGCTTCATAGTCTCTTATTCATGACTTCCCAATGGGAAAGGACCAATGCCTTGTGGGACTATGGTAACATACAGTCAAAAAGCTGCTAAGAAAATGGCTGTGTGTTCACAGCACCTCTCTCTGATAACAAACATATGTCGACTAAAACGGTTTAGTAGAATGGGAGGGGGGTTTTGGAGAATAAAATTTTCTTTCCCCGTGTAAGCAATCCCCATCTTCTTTTCTTAAAGAAAAGCAAAAATAGATACCATATCTTTACCATAGTGGGGGAAAAGGATGTTTTAAAAGGTTTTTATCAAGATCAAACTCTGCCATATGAAAGAAACAGAACACTCCTGTGCAGCAATTCTAAAAAAAAAAAAAAAAATCTATTATCATTTTTTTCCTTACTGTGATCAAAGTAGATCCATAGCATGTGCAGGATATAGAAACTCAGCCCAGTTAATCCCACCAGGATTGACTCAAGGTTGTTTAATGCCAGGTACCCTTTTGACTTCTTGAAATCAGGATGCCTTCTGGGGAAGGCATTTTGTATCATTTAAAATTGACATAATGAACATTAAATATGATTTCAGTGAGGGGATGGGAAGAGTTTTATTTTTTAATTCTACAGTTACTCTTTCCAGCCCAAGCCCCTTTTGGTCTGTTTCCAGTCTTTCCTGATCAGTTCAGGGGGAGAAATAGAGATGGGGGAGGGAGTGGAGATGCCAAGGGGGAGGAAAAGAGAGTGTAGATTGTCAATAGCCAATAAATTCTATTCCATCTGTAATAAAAAATGGCAATAAAAGAGAGATAACTTACTAATTGTTGATCATATTTACATATAAGCCAGTTTTTAAAATTAATGTTTTATATGTGGAAAGAAAACATATTGCAAGCAACGAGATAACTGTCTTCATCCATTTGTAATTACAAGATTTTTTTTAAAAAAGGAATATTAAAAGGGTTTATTATCTAGATATGTGACCATCTTTTATTAACTATATCTAAATATTCCACATCTCCTCTGATTTTCTCATCCATTTGAACATTGAAAACTGTGTTCATTTTGACTCTGCTGCCTTTTTTTGAGAGCATACATTACATAAATTCTATAGTAAACATTAGTGCATATGATAATTCTTCAGATAACTGAATGTGTCTCCTAAAACTTTGATAATCTCTTTAAGGAAAAAAAAAACCTAACAGTTACGAATTGAATTAGTCTACAAAATAGCTTGAAGACAAATCAAACAATTTACCTGATCTTTTGTTTCAATATACATTAATTAAGCACTCTTTCCAACCTAGACAACATTCCAGGGTCATAGTCAGAAATCCAAGTCTAATAGCTCAGCAGCCTTTGTTATCATTCGTGTCAAGCTATTGCCCCCTGCAGGTTAGGCTGAAAGTGCAGGCAGAATTTGGCCAAGTCCTCAGGAAATTTATGGTAGTCATGTTACTCAGTTTCTTCCAATATTTAAGTAGAGTCAACCGTTTTAATTTTAAGCTTGTTTTCATTATGATTTAAACTATTTGTTTACATATAGGTAGTAAATTCAGAAAAAATTAAGCTTATAAAAAGATGCCTTCGGTTTTCCTTCTGAGAACTTAGTTGGATGGAGCTGAACCATCCATTTTGTTGTAACACATGAAACACCTTGACGTACTTAATATACTTTTCCTTATCTTCCCTTATCCTTTTTCCACAAAATCCAGCAGAATTTAAAAATAAATGCAACAGATTTGGAATTACGAATTCTCAATAATAAAAATGTAGTCCTACTTGATGTCAGTGTGCTCTTGTTAGTATACTCAATGCAGTGCATTCAAAGCAAAAGCATTTTACATTCTCCATACTCCTGATATCTTCCTGATATGATGGGGAGAATTACACTGCTTTTCTTGATTATAAAATGAGACATTATTTCAACTACCATGCTCCTGCTACACCATTATCCTTTCCCAATCAATGTTTCCAAATAAGGCACCTTACCAAGAAGAAATAAATTCATAATTGACAGGGTAGAAATTAAATTACATCAATTTTTTCCACAGTATTAGAAAGTGAAGGAGGTTTATGGGAATGATTTAAGAAGGTTTATGGGAAGATTCTTTTATATTTTGGAAGTCAATGGTGTGGCTATTCATATTGAATTGTAAAGAAACTTGCAATGGTATTTCCCTTTTATTTAAATACGCATCTCATTGAGCAATAGATTATGCAAAATATCATCAATGCTAACACCAAATTAGCAATTGATAAGAATTTTACCTAGTTAAATGTTAGAAGTATTATTTCAACATTGTATGGAAGTAGCTAAAAACATGAACTTCATTTTGCTATCTTAAAGTTATTCTGAAATACTCACAAAAGACTTAAATAAAGGTTAGTGGTAAGACTCAGGGCTTTCTTGGAGGATTGTTTTTACCCTAACCATTGATGTGTTTGCTAGATCTGCCAGAATGGACATATAGAATAGGAATTGGGGATCCTGTAAGCTATTTTAAACAATACTGAAACAGACAAACAAAATACAACAAAAAATGAAAAACTTCTTAATGTCTATCCCTGTTTTATTACATTTTTAAAGCTTGTTAAATTTCAAGAGAACACTACATCTATAAATTATGATCTTTGCCTCTACAGTTTATTAACACTCTTGCTCCAAGCAAGGAAGGGCTTTGGACTAGGCCATTGGACTACTAGTTGAACAAGTATGTTATAGCCAGAATAGTGACTGGTTGCCTGCAGCTGACATTTCTAGTTGTCTTGGAGTGGGCATTTTGAAAGAAAAGAAAATTCATTTCTCCTTCAAAATCTTATCTCACATATATGATATGATTATACATGATTGTATATACAGAAGTGTATTGCTACTAAGCCAGAAATTGTCAACTATCTTGACTCCAATGGCTGTCAAATACCCACTGACAGAGTTGCTTTCAATTAGCGTCCAGGAAAGAGAGATGGTGTTATTTAACCTATGTATCTGAATCAGGTGAACGTTTTTTAAGTTCTCCCCAACACAAGATGTAACAGATTGCTGGAAAGTGCCTTGAAACACATAATCCTACTCCTTTTACTATCAGTACTATTGTTCTAGTTGTTTCTAAAGGATTAGAACAGAGTTCTAGAAAGGATGTAATGCTGTTATTATCAGAATCCTGAGTTATTAAGCATTCCTACCCTCAGAAGCCAAAGACCATCCAATCCTATTCATATGCATCCTGTTACTCAACTCAGTTTCCACTTGCCTGGTGTCTGTGTGTGTCTGTGTGTGTGTGTGTGTGTGTGTGTGTGTGTGAGAAAGAGAGAGAGAGAGAGAGAGAGAGAGAGAGAGAGAGAGAGAGAGAGAGAGAGAGCTAGCATCCTGAAAGCGCTTGTGTTTCCAGAGGTTTTCAAATGCAAATGAGGCGGGAGTGGTGGTGGCTGGGATGGAGTGGGTGTGTGTGTGCGTGTGTGAGGGGATTTGGGAAAAGGGTGTCTCGGGCAGGGAAGTAACTTCATACACATTTAAGGCCATCACTGCAGATGAAAATAACTGAGGTCTGAGAGACCCTTTCAGAAAGATACAATGCCGTCCTCATCTTAAACCGAGGCAAACTGAAGGCAGGCCCAGCGCCCGCGCCGTCTTGAGAAGGGTCCCGAAGACAATTCTCGCGGGCGAGCGAGCCCCCGGGGCTAAACTCTTCTGTGGCAAAGAGAAGAGCACACGTGGCCAGGCCCACCGCGCCTTCGCGAGGGAAGGCCAGCCAGCCTGGGCCCGGGCTCGGCTCACTCCCCTCTGAAACCCCGGAGCAGGGCAAGGGCGCCGCTTTAGCTACCTGGACTCTAGTTTTGGCAGCCGCGGCCGGGCAGCTGCTGGCTGGGACCCGGGCCTCCTCGGGGAGAGCGAGGGAAAGTGAGGGAGCGAAAACTCAGCCTCCACCCTGGATCTCAGATCGAGGAAAAGAAGCAAAAGCAAAGGTGTGGTTACACAGGGCGTCAACAGACAAACCGCAGCCGCTCCTGGCGGAGTGGGCCTGCGCCCGCAGCCCCAGAAGCGCAAAGCGCAGTCGGCGCGGGGCGCGGGGGTGCAGGGGGCGCGGGGCGCGGGGGCGCCGCGGCTCTCCCGGCATCCCCGGCCGCGCTCTCTCTCTCCGGTCCTCCAGGGTTCCGGCCAGCGACCTTGGGCCGCCTCCGACGCCCTCCCGAGGAAGGCCGCCTGCCGGGGCCAAAGGCACCTGGGCTGGAGGCCGGAGCGAGGCGGCGCCGCGGGACGCCGGAGCCGGGGTAAGGCGGAGGCTCGGACCCCGTCCGTGAAAGCGCCCAAGGCCCGACTCCTCCAGCATTTGTCATGACTAAAGCAGCTCCGGCAGGCTCCGCTGGCTCTTGGGGAGCCCCGTTGGGTGGCTCGCCCCTGTTGGTCTCCCTCAAGCCCTCGTCTTCCTCCCCCGTCCTCCCCGCTCCACACCCCCTGCCCTGCCAGAGTCCCTGGCGGCGCGTGCCGAGCCCGCCGAGCCTGGAGAAGAGCGAAGGAGCCCCCTGCTGGCCAGATGCGGCAGGCGCGGCGACCCGCGCCCTGGTCCCTACGCCCCGCGGGTGCGGCCCAGCCCCGACCCACCTCCACCCTCCCTGCGCCCCCGGCGCTGGGCGCCCGTGAAAGGAAGCAGAAAACAAAACAAAAACAAACAAAGCGCCAAAACCCACTCTCACTTCATCTCCTGCTCAAAGGTAAGTGTGAGTTCAGCCTTTCCCACGCCCTTCTATGACCCTCCCCTGGTCCTCTGCGCTGAGATACGAAGGAGCCGAAGGCCACCACCCTCCCCTCCCCCAAGAAAGAAAGAAATGGCTGCTTTTGAAAACATGTTTTGCAAGCATCAATATCATGCACACACAGACACACACACACACACACACACACACACACACTCACACACGCCTTACTCAACCAGACCTACACTTACCAGTCTGGAAGATGACTTTCGATGTGCGTGGTTCTGAAAGCGTTTCATTAGTTGTTGGAGGAAATGTTTACTGAGATTTTGGGTTGTAGGCAACAGCAATAATCATTCCGTGAATTAGGGAGGTGAGAGAAGAGGAAGAAAGATTCCCCTCAGTTTAACCCTTCCTCCTCTACCTGTGCAAGCGTCCTACACCCAGCCTTAAGTCTGGCATCGGCAGAAAAGTTTTCCTTCTTATACTGAGAAGGAGAGAGGGATTTATCCATTTCCAGAGGCTTCCTGTATGCCCACCCCTCACTAGGGACTCAGGAAGGGATTGTTTTGTTTATATAGACAATTCATGACTCAGTTTTGTATGTCGTTTTGAAATTAGTTTAACCTTGAAATGGGCTATATGCTTTGAATGACAGGTTTTTCTGTTCTTAGGGAAAGGTTGTTAGAAATCACAATGTTTCTTTCTATTCAGACAACCTTGAGTTATAGATGGGTGTAGTGTCTTATCATTGTGATTTTCAGTAAAGTCTGTTGCCTCTGGATGTTTACTGTGTTTGGAGAAGGATAGTTTTAAAAGATTTTTTCATAAGTTTAGGGAAACAATAAGTATAGATAAGTCCAGTAAGGGATCGGTACTGATTGCTTCTAGTTTCTTCATACACTCTTCTGGGGAGAGAAACGAAAGGGTTTTGACTGTCCCTGAAATTAGTTTACAATAGGCCAGAGCTAACAGACAATCTTTTAAAATGGCATCTGATTTCTTATTTGGTATTTTCAGGTGGATGACAGAATCTTTGACTTGCTAATAAAGAAGGGAATGAGGCTGATCTGAAGAGGGATCTGGTATCTCTCCTTTATGTTGATCAATCCAGGGGATCTGAGCAGGTCATAAAGAGTTACAGCTCCTCCTGAGGACAAAATTATACAATTATACAATTAAAAATTATAATATTAAAAAACTAACACGTGTTAGTGTTTACTCATTGCCAGGTACTGTACCGCAGCCCTTGCCTTCATTTTCTCATTTAATTCTCTTTGCAGTCTTATGGATTAGGTACTACTATAGTTTCTCATTTTCAAAAGAAAGAAAATAAGGCTTAGAAAGGTTTATTTACTTGACCAGGGTTACAACAGTTGGTGAGCAGAAGAGCAAGGATCTGAAAATAAGCAGTAGAAGAGATATCTTGAAAAATCAGGGTTATTGTAGTGAATTCAGACTGATAACAAACTAAACTAATATTTTTAGTTCTGAATGTTAGTCTTTCATAGAAAAAAAGGAAAAGATTCTTTTTTTTCTGCAAAGAAGGTATTTGAATATTTACTTTGTAAAATGCTAGTTGTGAATCCCTTATTCCCATTTCACAGATGAGAAAACTGATAGAATAAATCAACTTAGCTACCATAGTAAAGTGCATATACAGGCCTTAAAACAAAGTTTTCTGATTCCAGCTTCTCTATCCATTCCACTTAGCCACAGTGCCAAAACACAGAAGGATCCTTAGTTTTTCTCAAAATGCTAACAGTAGATCATTAACAGCTCAGAGCCCATATTTCTCAGTAAAGAAGCCTCCTTTCACCTTAATTGTGAATGCCTTTTGATAACAAAACGATGCAAATGTAGAAATAGGAGTATTCTCAGTGGTAAATTAAACGACATAAAAATGGCAAAAGACTAAAATAACTACATCTTCTTTGCTTAAAAAGCAGTTAAAACGGTATCTGAAAGGCCTGTCTCAGTACAATTTTAGTCTTCTCCACCCCGCAAGACCTATCCTACCCTACTCCAGGAAAGTCATTCCATATTACAGTTCTGCTAGCTTTTGTTCACAAATGAGTTTAACACTAACATGATTTTGGTGCTTTTCATCTCTGTTCATATATTTCTTCTTTGCAGCTGTGAATGGTTACAGTAAAAATGTTGAAACAAACCTCTGGAGTGAACACTTTAACAGAAAAAAATATATACAATATTAATTGGCCAAAGATTTTTGACTGGCTTCCACATTTTAACAAATACTTGTGATACCCTGAAGTATATTGTGAAAATATGCCTGATTTACCCTGTGTTGTAAAGTTAGCGTGGCGATGTGCTTCATAAAAATGGTCTTAGGGTTCCTCCATTTTCAGTAGGGCTCAACATATCAAGAAAACCAGATGAACTGCCTTAAGTCACTGATTGGACTGCAGCCCGTATGTCTCAGCTTTCTCAGTCATTTGTGTGCAAATTATTTGGCCACATGGCCTCCTGTCATGTTGGGGGATCTGTGATTTTTCCAAAGGTTTAATTTAGTTGAATATGATTGTTATTGTCAAGTTGAGATTTTTTTTCCCTCCCACCTCTCATTAAAACCCTTAGTATCAATATCAGTTTGGAACTATTATGTAATGAAGCTTGCTTGTCTGTGTGAATTTATATCATAAATGCTTTCACAGATTTTTTAGACCTGATGCACTTTTTGACATTACCTAGTCCCTTTTATTTTGCTGATGAGTAAATTGCCGTCCTGAGAGGTAATACAGAATTCTCAAGGTCACCCATCTAGTCAGCAGAGAATGAGAACTGGAACCCAGATTTTCTGTATTCAAGTTCTAAGGCTAGAGCATTCTCACAGCAGCGTGTCCTTTCTTATTTCATTGTCAGAGGTTCAGTCGCTCATTCAACAACTAGTTATTGCCATGAACTTGGCAACTATCCGAGGCATTAGGAATTCAACAGAGGGAAAAATATGACAGTCCTGAGAAAAGACCTTCATTTGCTGAGACTTGGATTCTAGTGGTGAAGCAGGACAGAATCGAATGCTAGTCTTAATAGTGGCTATAAAGACATTTTACAAAGGTATTTTTCTTAAAAAATAACTCTAATATGTTATACTACTCAGGACAGACCACAGCATGCTGTTAAACATTTCCTGTTAAAGAAATTTGGGGAACCCTTAGTGTCAAACAATGAAATAGCTGATGGGAAATTAGTAAATGGACATAGTAAACTTTAACCAGGTAAATAGAGCCCTCTCAGTCGATCCATTCATGGATCAAGGAGGACTCTTATGCAGAGTCTTTCTGTGAATTGGGGATTAAAAGCCTATGAGAAAATGTAGACTTGTGCAGGAGCTGGGATAAAGAAATAATAAAGAGATCAAAGGGGAAATTATTCAACAAGATGTTTTTAAAAATGACACATTTTCAAATGTATATTAGATTGTCCTAGAAGATGAACCCAAAGGGCTAAGAGAGCACTAGCTTGAGAGTTTAAGGCAGAAGCTGTAGGCTCTATTATTATAATTGGCTTTTGTGATTACCTCAACTTTCCCCTTTTAGAATATGATATACAGTAGTCTCCCTCCCCCTCAATGGAATAACTGGGGAGGGAAAGGTATAAAAAATTTAATCCTGTAAAAGCCTGAGTTTCATTATTATGAAATTAATCAAAAACAGTATTTTTCAGAAACTAGAAACTGTTCAATACAAACAAAACATATACCAGACATTGAAATGAAAAATTACCAAATAATTAGGACATAGTAACTTCCTAAGGTCCTTCCCTTGCCACTTCCCCCACAAGAATTTTAGACTGTCAGAGTTCGAACAGTGAGGACCAATGACCCATTGTCTTATATCCATATTTACCTCTAGTGAGGGGCACTTATTTTTCAGGGTTTTATTGTAGTTGACTTGGTAATGAAATGAAGCTCCCTCTTGGCATATATACAGAATGGAACTTTTAGTTAATTTGGGGGCAGGAGAGAGGAGGGTTTTGTCTGATATTACAAGAGGGTGATGCATTGAGGTTTGTTTTGTACTCTTTCTTGCCAGTTTAATTTGTATTTTGTTCTGAGTTCTAATAAAGGAATAGTATAACAGATATAGTTTATACTAGTGATATAATATAGTTTGGCTATTTCACATTTCAGTCTTTTATGTAAAATATGTTACTCATGTAACGTGTAACATGAGATTCTTGGATGACTGTTCCATAATGGTGGCTACCCAAATCCAATTCTCTGTGTTGTGAACTGTTGAGGAAATCTTGCAGAATTTCTCTTTCATGTTGTCAGATGTCGTGTGGTGGTATCAACCAAGGAAATGATTAAGTTGAATTCTCAGGAGAGTCACTGATCTATTTCCTGCCTCCAAGCATAACTGAAACCAAACTACAACTACGTGATGTGTTGAATTGCAGAAAGATGGTTGAATTGTTATCTTTACTACCTGTATTACTGAGATTAGAAGTTATAAGTAAAGGAATCTGGGTCTCCTTTGATCACTAAAAAAAAAAAATAGCAAGTCTTAACTAAAGGAAAGCATGATATCAGAGATTTTTTTGATCTATTTTAAAATTGGAGTGAGCTTATGGAACAATTATATTGGAGCTCCCAAGTAATGTGATTGAGATTATCTTTCTAGAGGGGAGAAAAGGTCTTTGTGAAAAGGTCACACTGCTTTGGGTGCCTACCTTCCATAGAAAGACAGACAGACAGACAGAGAGGTGGAAAAAAATCTTATTTGAGATGAAGAGTGAGTAACAAGATTAGCCTTCAAATGTATTCTCTCCGTACTAGGTATATAATAATATAGTTTTTGTATCTTTAAATCCATACTTAGCTAGGCATTAAACTCTAGGAATAATATGTTTATAGAAAATAAAGCCATTTCTATTTGAAAACAAATGGAAAAAATAATTATTTCTCCCCAAATGTGTACCCTTTTAATTGATCGACTGCATCCAAGAAATTCTGCTGGCAATTTGAACACTCTGTAGGTGTTGTTGCTGCTCTAAATTTGTCTGCAAGAGGAATTGTAAATGGTATTTACCTTTTAATTAAACAAAGCATCTTGCAAATTAAACACATGTTCTTGCACATCAAAATTTAGTTAACATCCTTTTCATTGTTCATCCTGCTGACATTCTGACAGCATCATGAGTCCACACACAATATAGAATCACACTACTCCCCCCTCCCCTGCACTTTGCATTCCTCAGAGTAGATGATATCACATGCTAGAGTACACTCTGCAACTGACTTCTAATAACTGAGAACCTTTTCCCATTTAATATACTTAATATTGTGTAAAATATGGGACTGCATTGGTGTGTCCAGAACCTGGAAAGCTTTGGACACTGATCTGACATAAGTCTTATAATCTTACACTGGAAATTTGACAGTGAATGACAGAACACCTTAGAGGAATATAAGAAGCTGATAAAGGTAGAAGCACTGTGCATGAATGCAGAGTCTGGTTTCTAATAGCTACATACTTTTTTACATGCATACCAGTAATTTGACATTTATAATTCACTGTGGAGCTGAATTTCTGTCATTTTCTTACTGTCAAGTCCTGCACATTTTGAAATAAATGTCCCTTCTAATTATTATATGAATTTGAACTCCAACATTCAATTTTTTCCCCTGTCCCTTATAATGGAGTACTACATTTGGCTGAAGTCTGATTTGCAAGACCATTTAGGAAATATGATCATTTCAAATGTATTCCCACGAACTATACATGGGAACCCCTTTCTTGATTGTACTCTGCCTTACTTGTGAAAGTACGGTCTAAAACCCATCCATCAGTACAATTTCTAAGAAAATAAGGTTATTAATGGCAAAATGAAACTGAGATAATTAGGATATAGTCTTAATGGAACAAAAGCCAGAGAGAGGTTTTTCAATAAAACAAAATTGTCATTAATGACTGTCACTCAATTGTACTGGTGCTCATTAATCTCTTTTATTTCTGTTTATTTATGGTTTATATAATTGAAATAAAGTCATTTGCTTAGAACATTGCCAAAGGAGAAATGCTTCCTGCTTTGAAAAGAGGCAACTCAGAATAATAGTTAAATAAAACCCAGGGTGAGATGAAGTCTTCCCTTAGCATTATGGCACCTCTGAGATTTTTCTTTTTTAAAAGTTGAGGGATTATTTTCACTGTTACTGTTTAGTTTTAAGATTCAGGCATCTAGCATGTTAAAAGTGGCACTACTGCTGTAAGAAATTACTTTGAGGCACAGAAATGAGTGGTACGGATATGGGTGGAAGAAAAGGAGGGCAGCTCCTTAGTGTCATCAGAAAAAAGCTTCCACTTAAGGGGCTAAAAGACCTCATCCTCACCATGCTTTAAAAAAACAGAAGTAAATAGCAAAAGTACACTTTTTTTTTGCAAATAAATAACTTTATGTTTTAAATAGGTATTTATAGAATTTTCTTTGGTGGAATGCTGGTTGCTTGTTGATTAAAATAAGTCTTCACATATAATAACAACAGAATATCTTTTCTTGATTTCAAGGGAATGAACAGAATATGAGTGATGAATATACTAAAATAGGACTTACAATAACCGGACTCATTTTCCTAAATTTAGGTAAGACCAAAAATTATTAATAGATACTTTGGCTAGTCACTAAGTATTAAAATATTATTTGCATTTATACCAGCACAACTTCTGTTGCCTTGTTTACACATTTCACAATTTAACGGGATACAATTTTCCAACTATAAAGAAAATCTGTGCCAGCCAACAAGTTTCAGAAATATTGATTGGAACTTTCACTGATGTGTAAAATGTGCCTGAACTATAGACGTAAGATTTTCCGTCTGAAAAAAAAAAAAAATTTAGGTTCACTATTGATCCTTGTGCTAGTTGGTTTTCACTAGGCTTTTGCAAGATAAAACATTGATTTAACTCTTCCTAGACCCATCCAACATGTAATAATTTGCACAAGTGATATATAAGACTTTAGAATAATTTTTATAATATATTTAATATGGCACTCCTAAGATATTTTATATATCAATTTCCAAAAAGATATATGAGAATATTTGAAAAATAAGCAGTGCCTTCATGAATGCTGACAAAATGGCCAGTGTTTCTTTATTCTTGCTAAGTGCCAGTTCCTGTGCTGCATGTGGGACACATCTTATCCCATGGCATCTTACAGGACACCACATGAAGTCCCTTTGAGGGGACTGAGAATCACGGAAGCTGAAAGCCTTGTTCAAAGTCACCCATCTACTAAAAGTAGAGCCTGGCTTCAAATCAAGTTCTGATTTATGAGGTGAGGCTTGTAGATACAATGCTGTGTGGCTTCTTCATAGTTCTCATTTACTGAACACTTACCATGTGTCAGACACTATGTTTAACACTTTACAGGCTGTAAAATGTATCTTGTACACCACCAAATCTAAATCATAGATCTAAGACAAGGATTTTGACTAGAAAGGAACTTCTGGGTTTAGGCTAAGTGTGGAAATGGAAGGGTACCTAGGTCGGTTCAACCTGAAGCAGAACTGCAAAGTGGACCACGTGTGTCTTCGGTGCCTTTTCCTGTCCCCTTCCATACTCTTCCGATTCCCATAGTCAGCGTCTCATTCCTGTAAAACCAACACTTAGAAGAAGGTACTCCTGCCACACTTTGTATTTAACTAGGGATGTATGAAAAGCTAAACAGAAGTCAGGCTCTAAAGCACTAGTTTCATTTGTGCATTCCTTCATTTCTTCATTTTAAAGAATGAAAGGGATGTGAGGATCAGAGAATGTCCTATAAATCATATAGTTCAAGGTTGGGAAACTGGAAGCCCTCCAAATAGGGCCCACATGTGTGGTTTTCTCACTAGTAGGTTATTTTGAAGAATGGAATTTGAATACCATTAGTTGGGGCATAAATTGTCTAGTACACTATGACTTTTCACCACCCTTACCATATTCTCATCCTGTTTAACACATTCTCTATTAAGTTTCTAAAATCAATTTGAATTTGTATCTGTGTTGGAGATAGTCCAACATAGAAAGTTGTTGAGAAGGTTGACTCCAAATAAGTTAGATTCTTTCTTCAATGTCAGTGTCATCTTTTTTCCCCAGACACCTACGACAGTACTTGGTATGCAGCAAGCTCAATAAATAGTTATTGAATTAATGAATGAATCAATGTGACAGAATTAGACTAGAACCCAAGTGTCTCTGATTGGGATCCAGTGTTTGTTGCACCTTGCCACTTAATCCTCAGGAGGAATGGGGCAACATCTCTGCTTTTGTGTGCAGGAAATTTGGCTCTGTCTTTCAGTGCATAGTTTTTCTTTTTCTACCTAAATCAAATGAGGCCTAAACTGAAAGCAATTCAACCAAAGGAGATTCATTCAAAGGTTGGTTTCAAATTGAAATCATGTAAACATGACAACTGAATGTACAATACTTTCCAGAAGACTTAGAAAATCACATTTACTTCTAATAAAGTCATGATTATTGATGTAGTACATTGTCTTCATCCTTGTGAGTGAAAGGGACAAGGAATCATCAGACAAAGTGAATATCTTTGCCAAGCGTATGGAGAATGTTTCAGAAGTTTGGAGAAACTTTTGGGCGGAACTGATTTTATATCCAAAGGTTCAGAAGGAAAAAAAAGTATAACTGAGTCATGTATCTTTCTCTATGATTAATCCATGCTATATTCATATCTGGCTATTCAGAACAGTTGACTCCTTTATTCAACATCATTTACATACTTAGTGTGACATAGCTTCGGGTTGATTCCTCCTTCTTTGTTATAGGCTGTCAGCCACATGATTGCTCTGTAGAATAATTGGGGCTGCTCTTTAGGATAATTGTGTAAAGTAAGAGAAAAGTTAGGAATTTTGATCAGGAATAAAAGAGCTTTAGGGCAGAAATCATGTTGCCACAGGTGTGAGCAATACACTAGTTGGGCGTATCAAGAGGACAAAGTCAAGGTCTAGTATTGGACCGAGACCAGGTCCTCCTGCGCTGGGAACCGTTTGCATGATTATTACGTTCCCATTCCACATGCTTCAAAGCCTTCAACACTCTGTATTTTCCAAGGGTCAATGTCAAAAGCATTAAAAAACTCACTAAATGAATAAATAAAAGGAAAAAATCTCGAGCACATAAGTCAAGGCTCACTATGGTGGGTGCTCAATAAATATTTTTTGAATGAGGTAATGGATATTTGCTGTCAAACACTGTGTCCTGCATTCACCCAAGAATCCCAAAGGTTTCTAAGCTTTATTTCATGTTTTTTTTCCTTTTTCCCCTGACTGTAAAACTTTCCCCATAATACTGTGGGAAAGCCTTTTTCTCACTTCAGTCATGTCTCATGCATCGCCTCATCTGTGAAACTATTTCTGTCGCCGTTCTTGGGCATCTTCTGAAAAGTTTGAACCAAGCACTCTCTCCTATTATGTTGCACTGAACTATCTTTGTTCATATATGGCATTTATCACACTTTACTTATTTTATAGTTGTTATGTACATGCTTGTATTACCTATTAATATATAATATGTGTTAGGTGCATGTCTATTTTATCTATATTATAGCTGTAAGATGCATACTTGTTCCCTAAAAAAAATGTGGCCTGTGTAAAGGAGTCATTTTATATATATATATATATATATATTTTTTTTTAATAATTCTTGCTCCAGATATGATTTATTTGTTTAAGATGAGGTCTTGCTCTGTTGCCCAGGCTGGAGTGCAGCAGCACAATCATAGCTCACTGTGGCCTCAAACTCTTGGCCTCAAGGTATCCTCCTGCCTCAGCCTCTCAAAGCACTGGGATTACAGGCATGAGCCACTGCACCTGGTTATATGTTTTTTTTATCATTGCTTTCCATGGCAGATTTTCAGTAAATATTGGGTTGATCAATCAACCAAGTAACCACATTGGACTGCTGCATGTATAAACAACCAAACAAAAAACCAAAACAACAACAACAACAACAAACAAACAAAAAAAAAAGAAAGAAAAGAAAAAAATCTAACAGGAAGTGATATCTTTTGAGAGATATTATTTCAATAACCCTACCATTTTTTGCTTAAGTGTGACTATAAGGTAATGTTTTTCCTTTTCTTTTTTCCTTACCTTTTTTGTCCTTTTACTTACTTGAAAGTTTCCTTTTAAAAACAAACTATGAAATTCACACAGCAAATATCATTTCAGCTTTCAAGATGATCATATTTATTCTGTTCATGTTGACATTGCTAAAATATTTTTTTTTAGATTATCTCCTCTGGAATTGTTTTAAAAGTCAGTCTCATTACTTTGTTGCCAGGATTTACTTTTCAGTCTTATTTTGGTTCATTAAAAAACTTTAATTCAAGTTCAAAATTTGAAGATTTTCAGCAATTGAAAAAAATTCCTAAATGCCAAATAAGTGTTATTGGTTACATAAAATGGTAGGAAATCCTTACAAAGGGTATTATGCAACCAAAAAATAATGACATTATGATAGGAAATTAGGAAATAATTTACATAAAATTGTTCATTATCTTTTTTTGTTGTTGCTATTAATGATTTTTTTTGTTGAATTCATTCTCCCTTGAGCATGTCGTAAGTTAGTTTTTATTTACGAGATGATTTTTGTCTTTTTTAAAAATACCTAAAATACCATTTCTTTCTCAGTTTATCAATTCTCATTTCATATCTTTATAATTTTTTTGTCTGTATCTGTTTTGGAGTTTATAAATGTATGATTTAAGTTTTTGAAAATAATCTATAAGTCTTATTTGAGGATATTTAATTCATTTTCCTTCTGCTTTATTGTAGTTTTATTAAGGAGAATGTATGCTGAAAAGTTTTGATTTGAATTTTTTTTCATATAAGGTAGTCTTGTATGAATGTTGTTTGACATTCTCTTTGCAAAAAATTTTAAACATGTTTAATTTTCTTAGACTAGATGTAAGTTTGTGTAGACAAAGGAGATGTGTTTGGGTGGCTTATTAGGCTTTTTAATTAAATAGTATTTATTTTGATTTGGTGACATTAATTTTCTTTAATTGATTACATTTATTTTTCTCTTGGATGTGGAAGGTTGAGGAGGATTATGTCTTTTAATTTTGTGACTCTCTTGTTTGTGCAGGACCCTGAACTTCCATCTCTTACTTCCTCATTTCCCTTCACTCCCAAGCCTCCAAATCACCCTCTGCAAGTTGGCCTTTTCCTTCTTGAAGTGGTGCTTTCCCAAATGAGCAACTTCCAGTTTTATGCACTTTATCCCTTTCCTGTTGATTTCCCAGTGATGCTCTGGTATACTAGTCAGTGGTGCTATGATTGGCCAGATCTCAGAGTTGGTTTTGTATTTCCTTAATTACAGGTTGGACATTCTTTTTCAGGGGGTGAGAGCAAATTATTTTAACACTGCTCCCTTCTCTCTTCATGTGTAAAATCTCTGCACGAAGTGGACTCAGGAACTTCCTCTGCTTGATTTGGTATTTATTTCCACACTTACACAGAATTTTAAATTTGTAGTGTTCCTTCTATCTTGTTATTCTGTAGGCCTGGGATATGAGTGGTTTTACATATTCTCTTTGTGGATCTATATGGTCCTTTGGACATAGTGTAGAGAAATTAAGA